AAAAGATAACACGTTCTTAAAGATTAAAGAAGTGGTTCACAAACCTGAGCCCTTATGAAAACCACTGTCTGCTCCTTGTCTCTGATGTTCAACAAAGCCCAAATACAGTGAAATAATCCAAAATTTCGCAAAAAAGCAGAGGTGTCTAATAAAATGTGTGATATCCAGAGGTCAACCTAGTTGAAACTAACTTGACTACAACAGTAAAATAGCTACTTTAGCTACTGCAGTTGCATCAGTATGAGCTAAAATAATATATAACTATGCATCAGTCCCCAAGTAGTTTTACTTTCAGTTTGGCTGATAACAGTTATGTCCTTTTACTTACTTACAATTTTATGTTAAGGAGGATTTCACGCTGTATATAATGACACAGGTTTAGCCTACAGATTGGTGACAAATGAAAGGAAACACTAGTATAAAATGAACACAACTTTTCAGTGAGATGTCTCCAGAACAGTGCTCCTCTGTTGGAGAGAGGATACACCTTTCTTCCAAAACGTGCTCAGTGTTTGCAACACACTTTTTCATACTCATTAAAGTATTCAGAGGTACCAGTTTAACCTGAATGTTAAATTACAACTGAAGACTTCAGAAAACAGTTTCTGGTTACACCTTCATTGTGAAGAGTGGATTGTTTGTCTTCCATAATACCAATGAATATCTTTGTATTTGCTGGTTGGACAAAACAAGTCATTTAATGACACTTTTAACTCAAAAAAGTCTAAATGGACATTGTTGTTTCCTAATTTTTGACATTTTGTGAATAAAAAATACATAGTGACTAGTCAAGTAGGCAATCCCCATATTAACCAGTGACCCCTGCAGTTTCTTTTTTTAACTCCTTCCATTTGTCACCGATCTTAGGCCTCTGTGGGACAGACACCATCCTGCAGCTGTGACTGCGGAATGCTGTTGTGCACTACAGTGCTACGCATGCCTTTAACTATATTTATATGATTAATCAGTAACAGTTTTCTCAAACGACCACAAAGACACACCAGGAACACACGTCTTTTCTTCATCTCATGACGGTTTGATCCAGCCTGTATGCGCACGCAGGCTCCCCCCCCGCCGCTGCCCGCAGTCTGTTTATGGCGGATGATCGCTTCTTGGCAGCGCGCCCGTTTATTACGCCCATTGGAAGCTGTATTACAAACTGATATAACAAACAGCCCGTTTTCCTTGGAAAAACCCCAACACGCTGAATTTGACCATTCAACGGATCTAATCTCTGTCGATAATGAAGCCCTGAAATGTCAATACCTATTCTAAGTGGAATTTGGCGTGGCATCTTATAATCACAAAAGAAAGCGATAATCGGGGACAGACGCAGCAGTAACAGTAGTAATGACTTTGTAATATGTAGCGAGAAATGGAAAATCACTATTATGGCCTATAATTAATCCATGGGGTTTACTGTACCCACTGCAAACTGACAGAATATTAATCGATGTGGTCAATCTTTAGAGCAAGAGATAAGTTAATGCAAGCGCCGAATGGCTGCTCTGCATGTTTATCTTTATTTAAACTTCAAACATCTGTTCAGTTGTTATATTTTAACCCCAACAGCTGTAATGAGGGAGTTAACTCACCGACTGTCTCGGGAACAGGATGTGAAAAGTCGCACACCGGGAGCCACAGTCGATTTCATCCTTGATGACAACTTTTGTCAAACTACAACAGACACAGTCACAACCTGTTTCCAGTCATGTCCTCCGAGTATCACAGGGTTAGGCTGTTGGAAGCTGAGCCACAGAAAACCACTGGCTGCTTATAAACAGGTTGTAACCGCAGAAAGCAGCTCAGGCGTAGTAGTAAGAACGGACCTTTCTATCTGCTAAACAAAGCCACAGGTAGACGCTAGCTGCTAAAACAATAAAGCAGCAGCCACGTATCGTCCTGGTGGGAGATCGAGTCCATGAACCTCCGGCACTTCTCCATAACGTTAGTGTGTGGGTGAGTTTATATGCACCGGTCAGAGCCAGCCTACCTCCGTACAGCTGTGATATGAAGGCGTCCGTTATGAACACAAAACTGGATTTATTATTAGGCCAAATGTGTTATTCCAGTTTTCCCACATGGGGGCCCTCAGGTGAGCAGCTGATCCTGCCCGTGACGTCACGGCGAGGTACCGATCCCCGGTGGTTCCCCACTAGAGGGGCGGGACTCGGAGGGAAATAACAAAAACACAGCTTCAGAAAAATCTGTTTTTGTATCTTCTGTCGAATCTTTACACTTTCCTATGTAAAAAGTACAAACAAATGTACCATCAGCAAAATGCAGTTGAAGTAGTACCCCACTGTGAAAATACTGCGGAACAAGTCCACTATTCAAATCCTACTTAAGTTCATATACAGTATATTATCAGCAAAGTTTACTTAAAGTATTAAAAGCAAAAGTAATCATTATGAAGAAAAATGGTCCCTATGAATGTTGACTATTAAATATATACAATGTTTTTAGATTCATATTAGTGTCCTTGAAGAGAAAAAAATACCACAAAAGTGCCCTTCAAAGTGCCTCCTCAATAGAGTAAATGTGATAAAAATACCCTGTAAGGTACCTCTACAGTAGAGTAAATGTGATAGAATGTCCTTTATTGTTCCCATACAGTAGAGCAAACAATAAAATGCCCCCTAAGATGCCCCTACAGTAGAACAAACATGATAAAGTACTCTCTAAAATTCCTGTACAACAGAGCAAACATGATAAAAGTGCTCTCGAAGGTGCCCCCACATTAGAGCAACTATGATAAAGTGCCCTCTAAGGTGTCAAACAAAGGTGAAAACATACAGTATATATGGTAGGAAAGTACTGTAAGGGTTGTCTTAAGTATGACTAAATCAGGAAGTGTTTGAGTACCTGTATATGCAACAATGGAATAAATTGCCCCCACTGATGACTTCAGTGGAAGATAATGTGTCAGCACCCTATAAAGTACCCTAACAAGCAAGAAACTAAAGATAAAGTGCCTTTTGAATTAAGAAGACAATGCTGCTCCCCACTAGATGCCGTTGTAATTGGCTAAGCTGGAGGTTCTGTATGACTTCAAGTAAAAAAAAACTAATGGGAAAAGGGCCATTTCAGGTGTGTTTAAGTCCAGCATAACATATGTGTCCTCTAAGGATTCATTACTAATGTACGTTAAATGTTTTCTAAGTTGATGTTATATTTTAGCCTATTAGAGCTCTTTAAAGAAAGGCTGCTTTTTTCCTTCAAAATGTGTTTTCAACCCTGTATCAGGGTTTATCTTGCACTGGTAAAAAGTGAGATTAGCATTCATTACAGAATGTCAAGAAGAGAGAATACTGAAGAAAACACTAAGACATTTGTAAAAGGCAGCTAATAGGTTGGATCCAAAGCTGCAAAAACAGAGTGGGAGACAAGAAAGATAAAGATACAGATACATTACATTAGCAATTAGAAGCAGAGCCATATTATTATTATATCAGTTATATTTTAGCCTATTAGAGCTCTTTTTCCTTCAAAATGTGCTGTCACCGACATTGCCACCAGATGAAGGGGCACCAAAAAAAGGAGGAAAAAGATTCAGAGCATCCTCCATCTTGATGCCAGGATCCCAGAGGCATTTTCAACCACCTCTTCATAGGTGGTATAAAACTTCATTACACTTTGCCAGATTGTGCTCAGGATATGGCCTCATCAAAATATGGCTTCAAGGGGAATGCAGCATCTCCCACCATTATGAAAGGCTCATCCCCGAGCTAAGCAGCGCCTGGTAGTGGAGCTCTTATTTTTCTTTACATGTTTTATGCACCACATATTCATATTTCATCCATGGAATTGGCATATATGGAAAATGCAGGAAAGGGGGGTCTGGAATGATGTTTTAACACCTTTTACCTAACATCGCAATTGTGGAGGGAAATGATTCTTATATATTTATTTGATCAGACATGACAAGAATCTCTTCAACTACATAGACCAAGCCCATTCTCTCCGTTTCTATGAATGTTGGACTGTAGTCTGCCATCATAGATAAATACTTTACTAAATCATGTATAAACTGTCAAATCTGGCAACAACAGACTAAATTGCCACTACTACCAAGTGTTGTGTGAAATATTTTTTATCTAAAGTGATGAATGTTGTGAAAATGCAGTAACTAAGACAGAAAAAGCCTTTATACTTAAACCTTTTAAACTTTTAATATTCTTCTTTTCATTAAGGTGTATAAACAGTCACATCAGAATGAAAAGATTACTGAAAAAAGGTCATGAGTAAAATGGTATTTGTGTTTGTTTAATCACGACAAAGGTTTCAGTGATTTGTTCGATGCCTTGTATCGTCAACGGATGGTTTGGTTGCCATCCAGCCACAATGAAAAGTCTGTATAGTGAGGTCAGTTTGGGCGTTGTTTCCCTCTTGTAGCCTACAGTATATGGTTTGTTCCTAGTTTGTGTTTCAGAATTCTTTGTACCTGCAACAAAAGTTGAAATACAAAGTTCAAATTAGTTTGAACATGACTGTCACACATATACCATTTTCACACAGTGCCTGAAAGTCTGAACTTTGTGATTTTCTTATGTTAATATCATATACAGTAAGTCCCTCTAAAACTAAGGACATATTAATTAGTGAGCTTTAGAGGTGCAGGGAGATAAAGGACCTCACCTTTGGTCTGCACCAGACTAGCTGTTTCTTCATGCCTCCAGACATGAGAGCATGGTGTCGCTTTTCTAATCAAACACTCTGTAAATGTTGAACTATTCCTTTAAAGAATGATTTTTTTTTTTATTGATTATGGGATCTAACAGCATGTGAAATCTTCTTAAACTGGGTAAAATGAGTGAGATGCTGTTTTTGGCACGCTCCATACAGCACTGTTTCTTCTCTTAACCTGGTTTTTTATTTTGCATTGTTTTACAGATTTGTAGTTTTTATAATGTTGCTATATTGGAAAGGTTCTCAGTGAAAAATAAATCTTCAGGCAAAACCTAGTCGATGGTGTTACTCACCCTCTGGCTTGGTGGGCACGTCCACACCAACGCTGAGTTTCCTTGTAAACGAGCCTAGACAAAAACTAAAGCCAAACAAAGTGCCCGTCAGGGAACATTACATTACAGCATTAACACCAGTCAAGGCATTTCAATAACCCAAAACATGGCTGGAATAAAAAGTAACAATAAAAAGCTCATTCTCAACCTAATGTTTGAAGCTTTGCTGTAAAGGGGATTAAAGAGTGATGTCAGTGAAGAGATAAAATGGTGTTTCTGACCAGACAGGCCAAGATGTCGGCAGAAATGAGCATGTAGAAAACGTTGTTCCAGCCGGTGGGAGAGATCAGACCAGCGAGCAGAGGACCCAACGCAGCTCCTGCAGAGAACATGCCAACATCAGTACTGGAGCCTGCCTGTTGACTCTTTTAGTATGTAGCGAAAAAAGGTTCAACCTTTTAAATTACCATATTATAAAGTACTGAAACATTCTTATCTCCAAACATTTAACAAAACATTCCCTTTTAAATTTAAATTCTGGGGGAAATGATCCTCCACAGGTCTAGATCTGAAATATTGGTTGCACTGAATGCAGTTAGGTAAAACAATATTTCTTAGACATTTTAAAGGAAAGTGGCACACAGCGTAACTCCACAGGTGGAGTAAAATATTCTATGTTAAAGCTCCATTTACTGACTTGGTGGTCAGTTGGTGGCAGCAACACAAGCTGTAATCAAAAGCGCTAGCATTGCCATTTAAGGTTTATATGGCAAACCTGTTAGCAAACACTTCCATATTTACACATTTAAGAGATGAGGAACAACTTTATCATTCATTTGAAGTCATGTTTCTAGACATGTGATCGATGTAATTGCAATGTTTATTCTCCTTCTAGCTATGTTGTAGTCTCTACCAACTCCTGAGGGAAAAATAACTCCTGCTAGTCGCTAACTTTGAAGAAGCTCAGTCACTACAGTCCTGGAACTCCTCGCATACCTACTGAACCAGTCCCATCAATTATTGCTGTCACTGTTGACAATGCCCTGGAGTTTCCTCTCAGACTCTCATGTGTTCCCTGTTGCAACATAGACATCATGTAAGTAGAGGTAAGTCAGTAGGATTATAGAAACTGTGTTTATTTCACAAAAGATTTGTTGCTCAAGTTGGATGGATGAATGTTTAATAACAGATGCTTCATGTCTTACCAGGTCAGCAGATACAGCAGTAGTGATGAGGGCGTATGGTCCGTTCACCAGGCCTCCACACAACAGCAGCATAACTACGTATGGGGAAATTAACAGATTAACAAAAGTGTTTTATTCTGTAAGATATTTCTCAAGTTCCAACTCTGAATAAATAGAAAATATTTACAATATGCAGACATAATGCAGCAGTGTGTATTTATGTGAATATATACTGAGTACAATAATTCTCTCTCAGTTTTCCAAATTGCACTCTCTTAAACCGCATGTCACCTGAGTAAATATTTTCACATTAAAATGAACCATGTAGACTGTTGACAAAATATGTAAATGAGTGTCAAAGATAAAAACAGCACAGCAAAAAAGTCTCACCAATTGTAATAGCAAGGCTCCGTTGTCCAATGTAATTATAGAGGAAAAGCTGGAACATGAACAAAACAGTCAGCAGACACATTTAACTTTATACGCCATAATTCCTCCGATGCAATACAAAGCATGTTCAGTCAAAATATAGCTTCCTGGCAGTACTGTGATAGTGATGGCAGGACATTCAGTCTTGATTTGAGACTGAGATCAGATATTTTCCTCAGAGAAAGAGTGCCTGCATTTGATGTTATTTCTTCTGACTTTATAGCATTTAAAAATTTTTTTTAAATAAAATTTGAAAAGTCATTTAAAACCTAAATTCAAAATGGAGATGAGGCAGGGGAAAATCACATCCAGCATCTGGTGATTCAGCACATGCACCGCCCCAGGGATGTATGTGCTTCCCCCTGTGCTTCTCCCTCTACACCAACAACTACACCTCAAGGGACCCCTATGTTAAAATCCTGAAGATTGCAGACAACACAATGGTCATCCGTCTCATCTGAGACAGTGACAAGTCTGTGCAGAGATGGCAGGTTGAACCACTGGTCCTGTGGTGGAGTCGCAACAACATGGAGCTGAACACACTGAAAACACTGGAGATGACAGTGGACTTCAGGAGAAGACTAAAAATTGTGTTGCAGGGACATTCCCATTTTATATTTTGTATTTAAGATATTTGCTCCTCCTTCTTCCTCCATCTGAAACATGTTGAAGAGTGAACAAGTGATATGACTGATCTGTCACAGCTTACCCAGGATTCCTCCTACGTCAAACAGTGTCGACATGTCTCCTGCTGCTTTTGCATCAAAATGTGCTGAAAATGAAAAAGACAGCCCATATTAACATTAAAAAATAACTTTATATGGTGTAGATACAACTATATAACATGTAAGATATCATCCTCATTGGGTAAAAACAATGCATGTGTGTAAATACTGACCAACATTTGAAATGTAAAGAGGAAGCCAGTACAAAAAGGTGTAGCTGACCAGCTTGGCAAAGAGCAGACAGAGAGAGAACTCCATCACTCCCTGTGTGAGACACAAAACATCATGAAAATCATCTCACACCAGTGACAATATAATACTTTGGTTTCAGCACTGATCACAAAATGCTTGTTATCATTACCTCTCATGGAGAAATATGAAAATGCTTACAAGTTTTTAATTTTGACTCAGGCGTACAATTCCACCTGCTGATTAGCTATGCCTAGCTGACACTGGACAAGCAGAGATGGGTAAGGTCTATAACCATCTAAATTTAACTTAGCTCTGTGCACATATTTTGGGTAAAATGTATGTCCAGCAGCTGCTGATTATCAAACCAACTTCATCTTGACAGACAGTGCTGTCTGCACTCCTCTGTTTGTGGGTTTTTTTATTTTTATCACAACCACCAGAGATAAGACGTTCTGCGTTAAATCTATGCTGTACCTATGGTGTAGGTAACGTGTAGCCTTACACTCACGCTGTAGCCAGGACATGCACATCTAAAGAAATGTAACTACACGTTGGGGCAACAAAGACAAAAACAACTGGTGATCACATTTCCTCATTCATGTGTCTCAGTAGCCGGACGAGTACAGAAAATCGCCCCCTTGTTCTGCCTCAGTTGGTTGATTTGGTTGTACAGACCATCACCTGTCACGTCTTCTCTCTTAACTGTGTGTAATTTCAGTAGAAGTAACTGCTGGTCAACATCTATTAGTTTTACCTCCAACAAGTCCTGCTCAGTTTCAGTCTGTATATACATTCAAATTCAGAATATACAATACATCTTAAATTAATTCCAACTTGAACTTGTTGAGTTGAGAATGAGCTGTTTCAAATTCAGCACTTTCAACCCAAATCCAACGAGCCAGATATTTCCATGGTTAAAAACTCTTGTTCTTACTCACAGGTATTCTGAGAGCTCCACAGAAGCTAATGGCCTCGGTCTGCTCCTCAGTAATTTCCTGAGACTCAGTGGCGATGGCGCCATTGATGGCTCCATCCATGTGGGGCGAGTCCTGTAACTGAGGCTCTGTCTCACCACTCTCCTGGTCACTCTAACACACAAAGACAGATGATTTCAAGATGCCTTGTTATAGATGAATTAGATAAATGAATGTTTCGGTGAAGAACTCACATGGTGCTCAGGAGGTGTGCAGTTAACATCTTCAGGTTCTGAATAAGAGAGAGGAAAAAATGGGATTCAGAAATTAAAACCTACAAGCAACATTTAGGTTTGACAAGGGTTAGGGGGGTTAGGGTTAGGGTTAGGGTCTTAAACATGACATGATACATGGCACATTCAGCTGACTTTACAGGAGGTCATGGTCGTGTAGCTCACATTTAAAGTTACAGCACACAGAAACAATTTGCCTGAGGCCAATCACAATTCTGCACCAAGTGCAGGTATGCCAACATAGAAGCAAGGACTCCCCTCTATGTCCCAAATAAACAGACTCTTCAGTACCATACGAATCATGAAGGTGCCATATCTTTTAGTCAAACTGGAAAATTTTGTTGAAAGGTGAGTAGATTGCAGCTATGCTCCTAACTCTGACTTCATGGTATAATCCAAAACCTCATGCCTTTGTGAAAGGACACTGTGTGTAGGTTTCTCTAATGAACAGAAACTGACTTTCAACCAAGAAAAGGAAGCACAGGATCCCAGTAGAGGCGATGATGAGGCCAGGGACGATGAAGGACATTCCCCACGCTGTGGAGACAAAGACCCCTGCGATGAGTGAGCCCAAGATGTTTCCCACTGAAGTGTGGGAGTTCCACACACCCATAATGAACCCACGCCTGGTGATCAAAACACAAGCACATGAAAGATGTGAACAGCTGTCTTTACACTGCTGCTTCTACTATAGGTGAATTAAAGGTACTGCTTCACTTTCAAAGCTCTTGAAAAGACTTTTACACCCTTTGTACATGTATGTATGAAGGTGCAGAAGCTCAGTCATTCCCTTAATTAGTCATCATCCACATTAAAGAGTAGTTCAGCTGTTTGAGAAATACACCTATTCACTTTCCTTCCAATAGTGAGATTAAAAGCAGCATCAGTTTCCTGTTTGTGTGATAAACTAGAGCTGGGGTCAGTAGAAAACCTGGCATCTTCCCTGTGAACACGAGACTCAGAGTCAGTGCTCCTGGCTATTAATCGTTGAGAACATAATTCCTTTTCAAACCGTGTATGGATTAAACAAACAAGATGCAAGATGTTAATTACAAGGTGTGTTAAAGGTGCGTTTGGATGTATTTTTGACCTTTGGACAGAGCAGGGTTCACTGTTTCCCTGTACTTCCAGTTTTTATAAGACAACCACATCCTGACTAGTTCTGACTGATATCAACCATTTCATCACAATCAAGTCACAGTATGTTCTTAACTGTTCTTTTAATGATCAATTATTGATTAAATATATGAATGAAAACAAAGGACTAAGATTTCAGATAACTTTTGAATATATCTCAGAAAAAAATGCACAAGCAAATATAACCAGGCATGACTAACATTTAGAACACTGAGTGCCCTCATTCTGATGTTTGCTTGCGTGATGTGCTTGTAATTATTTGTTATTATTTATTAAGCAAGAACCAGTTTGACCAGCATTTGAGCTTCTACACATTAAATAAGTGGCAGCTTTGCTTTTGAATGTGCATTTGGAGTGAGTGATCCAAGTTACATCAAAGCTTGGTTTTACTGTACTGGCAATAAAAACGTGACCTGTGGGGGTTCGTGTGACAGTCAGCCACCAACAAAACAGGCATCTAATACTGCCTGTTTAGCAGGATTATACCCTGGTACTCACTTCCCCTTTCCAAACCAGTTCCCAACACAAGCCACCACTGATGGCCAGCCGGTGGTCTGCACCAGCCCGTTCATGACCTGCAGAGTGAGGCAAACAGAGGGAGAAGACAATGTGTGTGAACTTAATGCACTGAAGCCTCATAACCCTGGAACAACCTTACAGACTACATAAAAAAGCAGGGGAAAGGAGACAAGTGTGCAGAGCTTATCAAGGTTCCCATACCAAACTTATATAAGCTCAGACACATGACTGCAGTCATGTGATGCAGCTCAGAGTCATGTGTGAATAAAGCCTGACATAAAGCCAGGAAGAGTTGATGATAAGTTCTGTACTCACTGATGGAGCACACTGTGATCACACCTGTACCGGGGGAAGGAGTTGTTAATTTATAAAACACACCAGTGATTTCTTGATAGTTACATTAAAAAAAAAACACTCTCATTCACACTTCAGATATAAAACTTTAACCTCTCTTATGTCATCATTTTCTTACTCTAGTGAGTATAGGTTTGACCTATAGCTATGAATTTACTTATGGCATTCGACCACGGAGGAGGGCCATGTAATCATACTAAGATAATCTGACACAGCTGTAAAAGAGCTGCATGTGAATCGTTCCAGCTGACATTTGAATACGTCATGTACAGTTTTAACAACATTTCCAAAGTAAAGAAAGTGGGAAACACTGTCCATTACACCAATGTCAGATACACACAGTGATGGTAAAGGTTTTCTAACTTGTTTGTGAGGTTATCTAACTCTTACATGACTAAAATCTGACTGTGTTTCAGCAGCACACTGATTTTCAGAGTATGTGTGTGGTTATAACTGGTCAAAAGAACTTTAAACAAAACGTGAAGTGAAATAAAACTCCTCTGACAATTCCTCTATTTGTACTGAAACACTCAGTACACACTTGCTTCCACATGAGATCATTTCTTGCTGAGTTGAGGCATCCGTGAAATCTGGGCTGTGTGTTAGCAACCAACGTTTGGTGGTGAGTCAGCAACAGACAGTTCATCTGGTCTCTGTGTTTCCTCTTTCTACAAATGTGAGTTTGGGGTTTGCAGCATTTGTGCCTGTTAAAACGGGCGTGTTTATGGCCATGGAACATTTCCTAAATTTGTACACAGTTAAAACATAAGAGTTGCACCACATAAATTCACAGCACAGGTCACTCTCTGATGCGTTCTGACAAACTAACATAAACAACGAATCAGGTGACATTATTAAAGAAACAGTTCAACATTTTGAGAAATAAGCTTATTTGAGAGTGACATGAGAGCTGCATGCAAACAGAAATGTAACTTAAAACAGCTTAAACCATAGTTTTAAAGCTGTAAGAATTTTATGATCAACAAAACGTGCCCTTCCACACAGTAACAGAATGATTGATCAACTCTCATTGTTATACTGTTCACAACCACAACAGAACAGGTCACCCCATCAAGTTGTTTCCTATGTTTTCAACCAGTCGTGGTCAAAAGAAAGTGCAGAGGTTTATGTTGTTGTGTGTTTAATAATTCTATTTAATAAATTAAATAGAATATAATAAGTATGTACAACAAATAATAAGTATTACCTGGATGACGGCGTAGTACCACAATGAGTGGATCTTCCAGTAGAAACCGAGGCCAAATAGAGCTGTGAACAATCCAGACATCAGCATCCCTGCAGACAGGTAATACCGCAGGGGCAGGCGTTCACCAAATATCCCACTGTGAACACAGGAAAACTTTTAGAACTCAGCGTAGCACACACAAACAAAAACATCACGTCTGCCAGTAACAGCACATACGAACCTGAAAAACATGCCGATTGCATAGGCAACCAGGAAGCAGTTATCCAAGACCCCAAACAGTGTCTGATAGTTGTCCTGGTCTAGAGAGATGATGGATACAACTATTATTGTTTACCACACACCAACATGGCCATTGTGTCTGCTGAAACACATGACCAGGCCGAGGAATCAAATCACAAACTGAGCTCAAGGTCTCTGTGTCAGAGAAGAGCCCATGCACCAGTTAGCACCAAGACAGACAGGCCTATTGCCTTTCTCATCCTGGACACAAACTGTTTGAACTTCACCCCTCTGGACAGCGCTGCAAAACACTACACACCAAGACAACCACACACAAGGACAGTTTCTTTCTCCGTGCCATCACAGTTAACAGTTAATCCATATGCATGACTGAATAACATGACAGCAAACCCCCTGTGCAATAATTTGGAAATAAAACCATTGTACATACTTATCTGCAAGATCTTCTTTCACATTATATTTACATATACTGTATATATCAGATTTTTATCTTGTATATGTCTTCCTCTGTTTTTTTTCTTATTTAAATGCACATAGTATTTTCTTGTCGACTTACAAAAGCACATTGACAGCTACAGTACTGGAGTCACATTTTCATATGAGATCAAAAGGTCTCATGAAAACGCCTAGCTACTTACCAACATACACAGTATGGGAAACTACAACCCCCATATCAAAGTGTATCTTAGTATGACATCATTCTGGTTACAAAACAAATCAAAAAATCTACACTCATATACTACAACAAAACTACCAATTAGTGAAGTGTCCAAGTTGACTGTATCCTGTATGACAATGAGTATAGGACTTACCAAAGGGTGCCCAGTCACACCAGGTAGCATTATTGGTTATGTTAAGCTCGACTGGCTGAATGACTGTGGAACAGTTTCTGTGCAGTTCACTCTGAGTATCAGGGAGAAAAAAACAGAAAGAAGCAGATGAAATTAACACAACAGTACTAGAGGGGCTAAAGGCAAATAAGGGAAAGTGCTAAACTCAGCTGTCATAAAGTCATTGGTCTATTTTTATAGTGGATATTTGTATTATTAAATACAGGATACAGGAATTGTGAATGCATCTGAGTAAAAATGTGTCTTTTCCAATGTACAAAACATATACTTCACTGCCTTTTTTGATAATAGACTTGTCCACATGACCACTTTCCTTACAAATAATCTGTCTGCCTATCCAACATTTGGATAATGTGTCCATCCATTAATGTATCTCCTTTGTAATCCCTGCTTATAAATATTTGATGGGGAGGAGTGGAAACATGAGCTCCTGTTTGACTGAAGGTAACTGAAGCCAGGATTTTGTGATTCTGTGTTTTATTTCACCTTAGACCCTGTTTTATTCAAGTTCCAGCAGTTTCTCTTTATGACTTCCAAACTCGTGTGAAGGAGCCGCAGAGAGCATCTTACAGGGAGCATTCAACCCTGTACAAACTGTATAGAATACAGAAAACTGAAACTGAATTGTCCCAGTTACCTTAACAATGCTGATAGGTTTCCGTGACAGATGGTAGGCCGTGTAGAAGAGGAAGGTGAGGAGAAGAATGAAACTGCGATACCTGCAGAAGATAAGTATGAG